GATAGAAGGCCTTTCTGAAACTTTAAATCGCAGTCTTATGTTTTCAGAAATCAAGTTTTTTGCCTCTTAAATTCAGTTTTAACAAGCTTTTTTAACATTATTTATTTGTAACTGAGAAAAATTACTTGTGTCTTTGAAGCATATGTAATTTAATTTGCAAATTTATGATCGTATTTATATATAAAACGTTCACAAATGCACGAATGCACACAAAATGTTTCCTCAAATTGCCACTTATAGATCTTATTTTTCTTTAGCGGAAAATTAATACTTTATCTGTTCTTTCTTACGAAGTTACAGTAGCCTTTTGTATCTTGAGTATGCACATTTTTTCAACTCGCTGTTTTTGAGATATTTGCTATTTAGCTTAATTTTAGCTTAATACCTACAACAGCAATGTGGCAACAAATAAGAATACACGCGTTATTAACGTTTCTCAAATTTATCCTTATTTAAATAGAAATGTTAATTCGTTTTTATTAGATTTTTTTCTAACTAGCATAGACCGTTTTCAAAATCTGGATTACTATAAATCACATGTTGACGCTCTTTTTACATTTTTTTCCCCAACAGCGGGCACAAGACATCAGCCACTATAAAGGCCAGAAGCGGTGGTCACTAATATAGAGGCACCCAATAGGTGGGCCACCGTGCCTGCTCCGGGATTCGAGCCGGGTCCTTCGGTACGGCAGTCAGGGTCACTAACCACTTTCCCGTCTAGGCACAGCGTTCTTTTTAATATTACAGATAGGATACATACAGTGCGTCTGTTATGCTAAAGGACTAAAGTTTGTACAAAACTGCAAGCAGAAGAAAACAGCATTCTTTTTTACGAAGCTCTGCAGTGCTATTAAAGTAAGGAACTTTAAGGGACATTTCATTTTAGGTTAGAGAAAGCAATCAACATGTGCTAAATCTAAATGAATAAGTGGAGAAGCTAAGAACTGCAGGAAGGAGCAGGCATTTTCCCTGTCGAAATGAAGCATAAAAATGCACTATTTGGCTAGAGAAATTAAATGTACAGTACTTCATATACATATTCTTATCTTGGCAAGACGTATTTTTTCATATGTTTTACTATGTCACATTAATGCAAATTCTTTTGCAAAAAGAAAAGAAGCACCATGAAGAAAATGACTATTTTTGTTGAAATTAAATACGCGTACTAAACATTGAAGGCCATACGATCCATCAATGGCTAGAAATTGCAGACTGAATGTTCAAATCAATAACTGGTGAACCCTCAACCGACGTCAATTCATACATGTAAATGTTGATAAAGATACTGATAAAAATACTGATAAAGATTCTCATTCTGCGATTCATTTCTCAACTGTTGCTTCAAATCTGTGACATTTTTGGGTGTCCGAATCGGACTGCCTATCATATTTCATACATGTTCGATTGGCGTATTGTCTGGTGACCTTGTCGGCCAAGGAAGATTAAGCAGCTTGGAGGTAGTCCTCCATTATGCGAACCGTGAACACGGTCCTGCTGGAAAAGGGCTCCAGGATGGCGTGCCATGTAGGAAATGATAACATCAATGTATCAGGATGACACAGGATGTCATCAATATATCATTGAGCTATTAAAGTTGCATGCAGGATGACTAGCGTCCACCTGCTGTCGTAAGAGATAGCACACTACAGCAGCACACCAAAAGTAACAGCTGTGTGCCTCTGCAAAACAAAGGCTGTTGGGATCGCTGGCGCTGGCTTCTTAACATATCGAGCCCGATGGTCTTCTGCTCCAAGACTGAAGCAGAAATCATCGCTGAACACTATGCAGTAATCTTCACACACCATGCGACACAGGCCATAATCTTCGGTTACGACACCACTACAAACGGCTCTATGGATGTTATGGAGTGATAGAAAGTGCCACGGATTGTATGGAGGAAGATGTCGCACGTAAGACAGCGGACAATAATGCCATTGATGCAGTTCGGGTCTGTCGCACAACCATCCGATCTTGCACCCTCGCTTTCCCCAGAGCCTTTATTTTGCCGTTAAGTACCTTGCAGTAACCATTGTTGCCAGCACTATCAATTTAATTTTATCATGGACCCTGTAAATTTAATCGTGGAATTGCGAAACTCTAGCTAGAATGTTTACTTGATAAATAAAGGAAACATTTTAAAAAAGAAAGAACAATTTTAAAGTTTTAAAGAATTTTAAATCGTACAATTTAATTTCAGCTTTCAAAATTATATAAAACGGACCCATTAGATGTAATATTGATATAATATTATGGAGTTGTTATCAAATTATATGCATTATGTTCTTAATACATTTCAGTATTAACATGAGTTTTGATGTTCTAAATCTGTTTTAGTATTATATATGTGTGTGTTATAAATAAAACGAAATAGAAAAATAACAGTTTTGCTCTTGACCAACTCTAATTCTGTGTTGCTGTTTAGCAACATCGCAACATCATGCATGCAATCAGAATGCAGTGGTACTTCTATAAATCAGCTGATTACTCATTGAATTTCACGCTGTTTTTGTGGTTTTATGCAATTTCTATAAGTTTTATGTAATAAAATATAATATAATGAGTAATGAAAAATTTATATTGCGGAAGAAAGGTGGTCAGTAGTGAAACGGGGAGACGACACACAGTTTTCAATACCAGTATCTAGTGACAGTGAAGACTGAAGTGAGAACATTGACGGATTTTTATGAGAGAAAGAAATTCACAAAAATAAGACACTGTAAATATTTTTGCTTTTGATGTGAATGCTACTATCCAAAAAAGTGAATGCTACTATCCAAAAAGGAAATGAATGCTACTATACAAAAGTGTGCGGAGCATGGAAATCTGGTTCAGAAAGTGCAGGCAAAAAGTCAAATAGAAGACCCTGAAATAAAATTGCTATTGGAGGTGTTTCAGAAATGTCTGTGAAAATAGGGTATCAAAGGAAGAACGAGATTTATTAGGAAAGAAGGAGAGAGGGAAATACGTTGTAGAGTATATCACTTTGGAATTCTAAGTTAATGTTGGAAGTGAGGAATCTAAGAACTGATAAGCGAATAATCGCTAGAGTTCGATGACAAGAAACAAGATAGAAGAGACTAACCCTTTATTATTCGATAAGATTTAACAAAACTCTGCTGGGTGTACAAGTCAAGCCCGCACTTTGGACTTGAACTTAAAGACTAAGATTAACTAAAACTAAGATAATAAATATATAGCAAAGCTATCCAGGTTCCATTAGATTGGCCCCTTATTATTACTAGAAGCTTAGCAAGGGCCTGAGTACGGCTGAGCATAAAAACAGCTTTAGAGAGAGAGCGCCAAAAGGCAAGACGCGCGTATTCAGAAACTCTGATTCTCTCTCCGTCTCAGTAAGTTAACTTCGTGGTTTATACTGCTCATTAAATATTCGCAAATTCCAAAACTACGTTCTAGCCGAAGTAGTAAGTTGAAGTTAAGAATTTGACAGGAAAGGAACTTTAACTTAAAATTTAACTGTTGATAAAATTAACATAATCCTTACAACGTAAAGCATTCTTTTATTAGTCTACCTGATGAAACACTGGTCAAGGGTATACCTGTTACTGATAAAAGTTTACGTGCATAATATTCATTTATAAATCCCTTTTTTGTTTGCAATTATTACTGTACAAATGGCAGACATGAGGGTTGTGTTATCACCAAATAGAAACAAGCGATGAATATCTTATTAAAAAAAATTTTTTTTAAATATTTCCTCCTGTCTCTGGCAAGCATTTTTAACAGCTCATATTTTTGGTGCCGAAATAAAAATTCATGCAATGTAGAATTAAGACTCCTTAAGATTAGAAGATCCTTAAAATACTCCTTTCAAGATTCTTTATTTCTGATTTCTTGAAAAGAAAAAAAGAGTGGGTAACCTATGCATGCTTTGCCATTAATCAATTAACTAATTGGAGAAAAACTAATATTTTGGTTAAAAATTCAACGCATAATAAACTGAAACAATAAAACAAAACAAACAAAAAGGGTAAAAACCTACCTTTTTTTTTTTTTTTTTTTTCTTTCTTTCTTTTTTTTAGCCTTTGTAAGAGCTTTTGACCCGAGCTTCCAGGTTTGTAAATCAGACTCTGTTTACGATAGACTTATTAAAGCACTACTCCATTGCACCAAATTTTCCTGCATCACATCCCAGATTATATTAACTATAAAGCAAGCTAACTTCCTACAGTCTGCTAGTTTAAAATAGGCACTTCAAGGCCGTAGCCAGCGCCCTTCCCCCCAGTTTAAGATTATACCTCATGACGTAACACACTGTTTTATAAGAATATTTGTGTATAACTCTGCTCCATTCCCTGGTATTCTTATGAAAATTCTATGAAATCGTTTTACTTTAATCCACCCCTACTTGGTTAAACTCTTAAGAAGCACGAATTCCTTTAAAAAATTATTCACGCTTTTTCCTTTATAGTTTTATTCAACTACTGTGTATTTCATCTTTCAAATATGCATATTTACAACTTGCTTCGATTAAAATATTTTTAATTGATTTACTATATAGACTCAATTTTGGAATAAGAAAGAATTCAATCTCTGAAATCTCGACAAAAACTTTTATTTAATATTATAGTGAAACTTTATTTATCCGGGGAAAATTGAACAAAATCAATTCGGATAATCAACGGCCAGATTCGTTTGAATTAATGACGAAATAACTTATTCTTATACACATTTTTTTGATAAATAATGCTATTTTTGAATTAATTTCCTTTTTCTCTCTTTCAAACGTTTCGTTTTCGTTTTAATTATACACAAAAGTGATAAAATTACTAAAATTGCACTTATTTCTTTTAAGCTATTAATCTAAACTATTTAACAATGGCCCATTGGTGAAACTGAAACTGAAAGAATGCGTTTTAAAAATTAATACGATTGCACGGGAAACTTACGAAAAGCACTGCTCGATAAATAAATTAATCAAGCAAAATTATAAACAAAGGTTTGGATACACTTCAGTATAAAATGAATATTGAAAAACTTACCTATTAATAAATCCTTCAAAATGATTGGTCAACAATATAGCTAGATTATTATACAGGAGGAGGAGGAACAGCTATGTTCGTACTATTGAAAAGAAGGGATCACATTATCTTCTGCTACTTATAAATATAGCTTGCATATTTTATGACACTGTTGGAATGCTTTTATGGGAAATAAAATCTAATGTGCAAAAGTTGCAAAGGTTGCTGAAACTACGCAATTGGTTTACATTTGACGCAACTTTCTTGTCATTTTTTATGAACAACGGAAGAACAGAAAAGTTCAACTAGCGGTTTCGGGATATCGGTGACGTCACAGCGAATAACCAACCACAATTTTCTTCGAAGACACGCCTCTTCAGTGCTGAAAGAATAATTTGCTTTTGGTTTGTAAGATGGCATCAAACCGTGAAATATTTTTCGTTACTCTGTAAATAAATGATAATTCCTGGTATACTTTTATTGCAGGGTATATAGTTTTTAACCCAAATAATTTTCTTTACAATGAAGCATCCACGGTAATCGCCTGTTGTCTTAAAACTCAAAACATAAAATCGTAAATTTATTGCACATAAGAAGTTCAATCTAAGCATTCTGAATTCCAAATATATTCTTTTGCTATTATGATGCATTATAATTTTGCTTTTAATGGAAGGAATTAATGTTGTCTAATGAATGCTCTCAAAGTAAAATAAAACTCGAATTCTATTTATAGCCTGGATAAAGTGCATTTTAAATGCTCTGTCCATGTTCGTATCATAATAGTAAAATTGCCAAAATACTATTTGGGGCTTTTGAAATGGATAAATTTTTAAATTAAACAGAGCCAGTTTTGTTCCTATGTTTATAGATGCTTCTAATAGTTTACTAGACTTGAAGCTTGTATTAAAGTTCTAGCTAGAATCTTTGGTTCGGTTTTGGAATCAAGCAACTTACAAAGTCAACAGCAGATTATATTATTCGAACAGCAATAACTAAATCTCTTAAAAAATTCTTATAAAAATAAAATTGTAGTACCATGCTATACAAATAACATAAATACTTTTAATGCGAGAAAGCAGATCAAAACTAACGTTCATACGAAGATACAAGAAATTACCTGAAAAATTTTAGAAAAAAAAGTTTTGTTAATTTTTTTCACATCGATCATTTATTTTTTTCCTTGTTATTGATATAGAAATGATTGTAATTAAAATATACAGTCTAGTGTACATTTTTGTAGTATGCCTAGTATGCAGTTCTGTGAATTGTAAAATTAAAATGACTTTCGCAGACAACAAAAGAACATAAGCATCACACGCCGCAAATATAGGAAATAAATTTATGCTTTTGTTCTAAGGATTGGATATAAAAAATTGTAAGAGTAGTATTGGTTAAGATGGAGCAGTTACATATTTGAGCTTTCAAAAGTCTAAAGAAAATTCGTTGTTGCTATCAAAAACGCATTTTCATTAAGAACAATTTAGTTTTTATTTTATTTCAATAAAACTTGACAGAGCTCCAGCCGAGACATTTTCGGTGAGGTTTGAAAAAAATCCCGCGTAGCCGCTACATCGTTTCCGTAGCTAGGCGGGACTTGGCTTCCAGTGGGGCTCTTTTTTTTAATCCTCCCGTTTAAACCAGTGCTACCAGAATCTCGTCTCTCAGAAAAGTCCCGTCTAGTAGGGACTGTCGCCAGATGTGCTAACCTCTTAAAATAAAAGTGAGCTTGCGGGCACTGAGCGCAGAAATGTTTTGTCCCACAAGATCGTAAGAATCTGAAATTTGTTATTTGCTTTCCAGAATATTCTTTTTACTTCGGAAGAGGTGAAATCTTAAATTTCTTTAGCAGTTCTTTCCCCGAACTAATTTAGATATGTCTAAGAAGACTTTAAATCTATAACTAGTAAGACTTAAAATCCATTCAGTGCCTCATTTGTCCCTCTAGCTTCACTTTTTTTCAACACATTTTGCCACGTTTTTAAAAAATAAAATTTTAATTGAAGAATTTTAAAATGCATGGAAATGTGGAGTTAATTAAATTCTATAAACTAATAAAATGCTCTGACAAAACTTTTTTTAAAAGAAGGTTGCTTCTGTAATGTAGTCCGAATACTTGCCTAACATAGTAGTTAGGAATACTGGGGAAGTTCATGCAAGATTTATAAGAAATATGAAATGATCAATAACATTTACTGGTTTTCTGAATGTTATTCAGAAAGGATGCTGAACGAAACATAATCAAGAGATTTTAAAAAAATGAAAGATAACTTTATGTAATCTCACGTCCTTGAGATTTAGGAAGCAAAGCAAGTTAATAAAAATTAAGACCGTAGAAGTGAATTATACGATTTTATTTCTTAAATAAATGTTAAATCCGTTAATTCCATTGTCACACTTTCGTTGTACGTTTTCACAACAATATTGCATTGTCGTGTTTATGCTCCATGAAAGTTTTTAAGTGGCATGAGTAACCTATGATTTCGTTGTTACTTTTATTCCCCTTTAAGCTTTATTAATGGTTTAAACCATTAATTTTAACAGGTTACAGGCCGAGTTTAGCGCAAAGTAACGATTTATAAGCGTAAGTAGGTCCACTGTGTTCTCATTTTAGAAATCAGAAAACGGAAATTAGCATGGCTAGTATAGATGTGTCATCTATACTATTCAACGGAATTCAACGGATTCAACGGATAAAATTAATCACAATGGAAATTTCACATTACTTGTGTTCTCAAGGCTAAAGCAGTATTTTCTGTCACCAACGGAATGAAGGAAAAGCCAGAAAATGATGAAGCGACAGTAGTAAAGTGGAAAAAGACGACGCAATTTGCAATGTTTACAATATCGTCGGCGATGGAACTTTCACAAGTCATGCTTATTTGAGAATTGTTCGACATCAAATAAAATTCTTAAAAAATTGGCCTTTGCTTTTAAATTGAAATATGAATTTAACAAAGTGTTTCTTCTTGATATATTTCATCCGTTGAAAATGGAATACAATAAAACAATAAAACAGTACATTACAAAAACTAAAATTCTTGCTCATCAAAGCAAGAACTTTGCGAAGGTTTTAGTGATGCAACTATAATTACTAAAATTTTGGGAACATTACTTCCGAAATACAGAACTTTCAGACAAGCTTGGTTATTTGTCTATGACAGTAAACAAAGCATGTAGAATGTGATCGGAAGACTCATCGATGAAGAAAAACTTTATCGCAATCTGAGAAAAGTGAGTCTCTATTTATTCACTTCTAATCGCAGTAAATTTTGGGGAAGAAAAGCAATATAGTTCGATTCATTAAGCAGGAATAAGTTCATAAATAATAACGGAAGCGTAAATAAAACCAAAGTAACGTGTTATATCTGGGCTTTGCGCTATAGAATGCCTTTCCAAGCCGCGTGGAAAAGAAGCTGACATTTCAGAAGAATTTTACAAGTTACAGTGCATTTAAATAGAGAAAACAGCAGCTAAATAAAGAAAATTGTAAAAAGAAATGATGAGCAGTGGATTTTAGACAGTGGGGCATCTGCTCATATGACCTACAATCTCAGCTACTTTGACAGTTTAAATGTGAGACAAATGAAAATAAAATTATCCATCTCGACAACAATTTAGAATTATCCATTAAAGGAAAAGGGAAGGTAAAAAAACCAAGATTTCAATTGTAATCTTTTCTAAGGACAAAGCATGTATGTCATTTTAATTGTCACTTACTGGAAACATTATCAGTATATTCACTTCGAATTAACAGAAATACAGAGGGAGATTCATACGATGATGAATAAGGTGAAGGAGACAGGTAGGAAAAGGATATCGTTTTTGGCAGTCTTCTAGTTGACCGACTTACCACGATAGCCGTGGACTATTCTTTTAATCTGGTGGGACATCTTCTAGTATTTTAATATATTTAATGATATTGAAGCAACGAATTACCGTGGATGTTATTCCTGTGGAAAAGGCAGCAGTGGTGCGACCGTTTGGAGCGATTAGTTTGGATTACAGTCTAAACATTTTCCGTGTCACGAAGAACAGACTCATTGAAAGTTTGTATAATATGCAGAAATATCTTTGTGTGTTTATCTTCCCATTACCATTACTTGTGCCCTTCTATGTCTTTTCGTTAAGAGGTGGTATTGCATTAATCATAACTATTCGCATTATGTTTTAAGAATACTGCGCTTATTCTCCTTCCTCTATCAAAAGAATAATTTTATTGCATCAAAATCAAGCAATTGAACCTTCATTCATAGATATCCAATTTAACAATGTCTCTATTTAACGTTTGTTCCAGTGGTTCGTACCAAAAGTTATGAAACAGTGTAACATTTTAGTTCTGATTTAACAATGGATTTTCTTGATTTCATAAAAATGTTCTGAAATAATTACATTTTCTTAAACTTTGCTCATCTCTCATATTCCGCTATGCAAGTACTTTCTAGTACCGTCGCTATTTTCAACATTTATTAATTCCAATTCTTGTAAGTGAAAATAATGTTATAAATTAACATTTCAGGAGCTAAAATCTGAAATTCCCAGAGAATCAAAGAAATATTTTATGACTGGGAGCGAGGGCGGATTCATTTGATTTAGAGAGAGAAGACAAAGGTTAAAACGTGCACTGAAATTATTTTCATTGAAGCAAATAAAGTTCTGAAACCTGCAAAGAAGTACTTGATGGTCTGCGACCGAGGATTGAACTTTTGTTAACATTTCGTATGCTGAAAAGGTGCTAATCAATACTACTCTAAGATTTAATGTAAAATGTAGTAAAACTTAATGTTTTCCATATATCTCAAGACCGTTAATGCGGCGGATAATAAAAATTCCTTTCATCAGTATATGCCACCAGTAGATAAAAAGGACATGTTTCTAATTTAGTGCACTATATAAACGGATAAAAATTGAAATTATAAAAGACAGTTTGTTATATGCAGCTCCTCAGATAACTTACTATTGCATTTAAAAAGTGGAAAATTTGTTATATGTTTCCCTTTAGCTTATTAATGTAGAATAAGAGCATAATATATGGAAAGTCAAAAAGAATAATTATGTTATTCAGGGTTCTAACAAACAATATAATCGGTACATATTTATCTACTCTACATCAAATTAGATTTTATCAACCCGATTTCTTGTCACTAATTTTAGAAACTCTATGTGAAGTCCTTTTATCGCGTAGCACACATATAGTATGTAGTCCAAAGGAAAAACGACAATGTCCTTACCTGGCTTTCAAAATTCGCCATTCACCAAAAAAATCCTTTTTTTTTTTTT